GCCCCCGCCCGCCCCGGGCCCGCCCCGCGCCGCCCGCCAGCCTGCCGGGGAGCCGCTGTCCCGGGCCTGGCGAGTGCGCGTCCGCCGGCTGAACCTGGGCACCGCCGCTCGCCTGGGCACGGGACTGGGCGGGGGCGCTGACCTCGGCCTAGGAGGCCTGGGATCCCGGAGCCGCCCGCGCCCGCGGGGACCTGCGAGTTGCACGCCCTCTCCCAGCCTGTGCTGCTCGCGGCTACTCGGCGGGGCGAGGCCAGGTGCCCCCCTCTTCCCCTTCCTTCCCTCCCTCCCCCACTCCGGTGTCCGCGGGAGATCCCGCCCGTCCGCCCCCCTCCCGCAGAGGTGTAGCCCGCTGCGGAGCTGACAGCGGCCCCGCAGCCACCCTGTCCAAACTCTCCGGAAGCGGCCGGAGCAGACCCGGCGCTCAGGCCGCCGCAGCTCCGGCGGACCCACTGTTGGACCGGAGGCACCCGCCCTCCTCCCGCGCCCAAACTTGGAGCACTTGACCTTTGGCTGTCGGAGGAGGCAGGCCGGCGGGTGGCTGGACAGCTGCGGCGCCTCGAGGGCATCTTGCCTGGGGTTCCAGGACTGTCGGCTATACTTCTGGGCTCCCGGCTTTGCCTCTGGGATCCCGAGGTGATCCACATCAGGCGCATGTTGACTGAGACCTAGAGTCATGGATGTGTGCGCCCGTGTTGCCCTGTGGCTCCTCTGGGGGCTCCTCCTGCATCACGGCCAGAGCCTCAGCCATAGCCACAGCGAGAAGGGTACAGGAACCGGCTCAGGGGCTAGTTCTGAGGAGTCCACTGCAGCAGGTAAGGCCTTGCCACGGGCTGGACTGGGCTGGGGGCGTTGACTCAGAACTGAGGTGCCTGAGTGGGCAGGTGGAACCTTAGGTTTCTACATATGAAGTTGATGGAGGACCCACACATGGCACTGTCTGTTCTCAGTAACCCAAGGAGTTCTTTCTGTTCAGGAGCCACGGCTAATGTTTCTGTCTCTCGTGAACAACTTTCCTCCTCCCTCCCCAGGATGTCTTTTGTCGGTAACCAGAAGAGGCTGGCCTTTGGGGCACCTTGGCCTTTCGGTTTATCAAGCCAGGACCCTTTCTCAGGACTACTTGTCAGGAAGAATGGTTTGGGCAGATGATAAGTCTATTGCTCTTGGCCAGTTTCAGCACTTGGCAGCACAGGGGAGGTTGAGGCCACTTGGGTTGGGCAGGGAAAGTCAGGGCCGGGCCAGCCCTCTTGCCCTATAGCTTGGTGTTGAGGTGTGTCTTTCTGTTCCAACAAGCGTGGGAAACTTAGTCCCACCCTTCCCTTAGGTAATCTTCTGTCTTTAGCTATCCCATTTGACATATCCACATAGTTCCTTAGAATCCCACTTACCACGAGGGAGTTAAATGGCTTTTTCTTATCATAGGTATGGTATGATTTCTGGGACCACTTGTTGATGTATTCTGTTTCTTCTGACTGATCAGGGTAGGGATTCTATAACATGTTTGATCTGTTTCTCCTTATGCAAATCATGGAGACTTGTCAGATATCGGGAGCTTTGGTGTTCTGTTGCAGAAGGAAAGAGTACTTTTGTAAAATTCATTTGTTTTACACAAGGCTTAGAAGGAATTCCGTTTTCTTTCCCCATTTCTCGCACTCTGTTATTGTGATCTATCCAAAGTAGTGGGGTGCAGAGTGGGGAGGGTTTATAGCTGAGTTCTTGATGAAGGTAGGCAAGCTTAAATGAGGGGACTGCTCAATGGATACCCATTGATACAAGGAGGAAAAGGAAACATAGGTCATGGTGGCTGGGAAGTTTCATGGATGGATCCAGATGATGGCTTTGGTGATAGATTCTTTGTTGGAAAACTCCCTTTTTTAACTTCTTTGATTCGGGTGAGTGTGATTCCAGATATCTGAAGGGCTGGGTTCCAATTGAGGTCAGGATTGTCCTGTGTCCAAGCATAGCACCTAGGCTGTTATTTTGAAGATAGGTCTTTCTCACATATTTAACCTCTTTCTCCATATGCTACCTCCTTGGCCCCTGAAATGTAGCTCAAAGCTTGGTTTTTGCTGGGTTTATGAAGGGAAAGACTAGTAGGCAGATGTAGATCAAACTGGAGCATCTCTGCTGTTTCAGTGACATTCCTGTTTATAACTGATAAAATGGTCCTTTTCTGACCCTAAAATATGAGTGCCTGGCATAAAATGAGTTTTTTTTTTTGGGGGGGGTGTTTTATATCTTAGACACAGGCTAAAGGGATAAAGTTTTGAATTTTAGGCATTAGCTTGCTCTCAAGATTTGTGTGTATGTGCACGTGTGTGATCACACCTGCCTAAAGTAAGAGGCATTCTAGCATCCCTCAGAACCACCCCATGACTTGGGCTTAGGGGGACAGCCCTCTTTACAACATATCTTAAAGGACTGGCTATGCTGATTATATCACTTAGGCCTCTTGTTTGGTTTGGTTCCTCTCAGTTCAGAAATTAGTTTCTGTTAGGGGTGCCTGGGTGGCTCAGTCAGTTGGGTGTCCAACTCTGGATTGCGGCTTGTGTCATGCTTGTGTGGGTCATGAGTTTGAGCTCCGTATTGGGCTCTGCACTGATGGCACAGAACGTGCTTGGGATTCTATCTCTGCCTCTCTCCCGCTCTCTCTCAAAAATTAATGAAGAATAGAGGTGCCTGGTGACTCAGTTGGTTAAGTGTCCAACTTTGACTCAGGTCATGATCTCATTGTTCTTGAGATCGAGACCCATGTTGGGTTTTGTGCTAATGGTATGGAACCTGCCTGGGATTCTCTCTCTCTCTCTCTCTCTCTCTCTCTCTCTCTCTCTCCCTCTCTCTCCCTCTCTCTCCCCTTCTCTCTCAAAATAAATAAATAAACTTAAAATACATAAATAAACATTAAAAAAATAAATTAGTTTGTGTTGTCACAATAATACTGAATACTAAGGAGGGAAGTCTCAGACAGATACCCTAGGTGCTGGGCATGGTTATAGTTTGTGGGAGCCTGGGGACCCCAGCACTATTGTTCTAGGAGTTTATCCCCTTGGGCCTGGCCTGTCTGGGACTTTGACTCAGGGACTCATTTTTTTGCAAAAAGGTGGTTCATAGATAGGACTCTGCTAAAGGATTTGAGGAGAAGCTTTCTATGCAGCCAGGCACTCTCCTAGCTTTTCCAGTCCCCATGTATTCTTAGAACACAGGAATTTTACTTGTCTGTAAGCTTGCCATTTCTCTAATCAGATTCAGCATACCTAGTCAATTTATGTGTTCTCTACAGTTTATTTTTATTTATTTTTTTAGAATGTTTATTTATTTATTTTGAGAGAGAGTGAGAATGAGCGGGGGAGGGTCAGAGAGAAGGGGAGAGAGAGTATCCTAAGCAGGCTCTGTGATGTCAGTGCAGAGCCCGAGGTGGGGCTGAATCTTACAAACGTTGAGATCACGACCTGAGTCAAAATCAAGAGTTGGATGCTTAACTGACTGAGCCACCCAGGTGCCCCAAATTTATATATATA